TACAGACCTATCGCACTCATGCCTGCACGCCTCTTATCTCATGAAACTGGAGTTGAATGGAGTCTTGAGCTCCCCAGTTCAGAGTGGGTTCTAGGCATGCTAGAGTTACCCAGACAGGGCAGCTGTTGAGGCAGGAGGAGGAAGAGGCAGTCTGTCCTGTCAAGGTAAGTAGGATGACAAAAAGACCTCTTGGTTTGCAGGTTCATGATTCTAGCACAAATATGCTTAGCAAACACAAGTTCAGCTTCTGAGAAGGCAGAATGGGAGCCAAGGGGCCTGCATACACACGGGGCCAGCTGCTGCTTACGCCTGCATCCCTGATCGGAGCCCACCCTTCTCCCTTACACCTGGGTGGCAGAGGCCATGGGGCTCGAAGGTGGCAGCACCTTCATGGCTTATGCCCATGAGCCTGAGGTCCAGATGAGTCGGGATGAAGGATTCTGGATGAGCACAGAAAGGGGTGGCCAGGCTTTGGCATAACGATGAGTATCCCTGACCTATGCTCCAGCTGGAGCTGGATGAGGCCTGGATGGGCCCAAGCACTGAAAAGAGCCAGGACAGTAAGGCTGTGTGCACTGAAAATAAAAATCCATGTTATAATCAATGTGTCTGACTGGTTAGTCTCAACCCATTTCCCACCCTTCCCTTTGGTCTGCTAGGGAAGATAAGTCATGCTTCCTAAAAGACTGTTTGTATGGGGCATGGTAGCTCACACATTGCTTTCAACACTGGGGAAGTAGAGGCAGGAAGATCAAGAATTCAAGGTCACCCTCAGCTATGCTAGTTGGACAGCCTGAGCTACATGGGACCTTGCCTCAACCAAACCAAAACAAACAAAAAACTAAACACCCGTTTGTGCTGAATGTGGTGTCAAAATCCCCAGAACCTGGGAGGCTGTGAGACAGGAGGGCTGAGGAGATGCCGAGGCTAGCCTGGGCTTCCAGTGGGAACTTGTCTGTGGTGTTGGTCTGATGAACTCCTTAAGGGCTTCCAATCCAGTGAGGGAAGGACAGTTATCCCCTGATCAGTTTGACTTTAATAGTAGAGATATAACACCTGACCTTAGAATCCTAAATTTGGGGTGAGGGTACTGTTACCGGGCCTCATGGTTGGGAGCCCCTGTCAGATGAAAGAGTCCCTCTTCTCCCCTCCCCTCCTCTCTCCTGTCTGAAAGTGGTGGTTGCTCACCCTGGGGAGCCCTTGCTTGATAGGGTCACCACTGACTAAGTTGTTCAGGTGGCCTTACTCTCAGATGTCAAAGGGTGACTGGCTAAAGCATGAGTCCCTAAAGGTTTCCTGGAGAAGAGCACTGAGGCATGCTGGGAGGACGTGAGAGGATTTTGTGGATCAAATAAAGTCTGGTGGGAGAACTTAGGGCCTGTGGCTGGAGTAGTAGCTGAGAGCTTACATCACGATCTACAAGCATGAAGCAGAGAGATAGACACCGGGCACGGGGGAGCTTTTGAAATCTTTTTCTTTTTTCTTTTGTTTTTCTGAGACAGGGCTTCTCTGTGTAGCCTGGGTGTCCTGGAACTCACTCTGTAGACGAGGCTGGCCTTGAACTCAGAGATCCACCTGCCTCTGCCTCCCAAGTGCTGGGATTAAAAGCATAAGCACTACTGCCCAGCTAGGCTTTCAAAATCTCAAAGCCATCCCCAGTAACAAACCTCCAACAAGGCCACACCTCCTAATCCCTCCCTAACAGTTCCACCAACTGGGGACCAGGCAGTCTAATATATGAACTATGGGAACAATTCTCATTCAAACCACCACAGATAGAGCTGGGTCAGCGTGAGCAAAAGATCTGGATTTTCAAGTGTCAACTGGAAACCAATATCCTCGACACCCTGAAACTCTGCTGGCGGTGACAGGGAAGCTGTGTGGCCAGAGCTGTGTGCTGTGCTGTTCAGGGGCCTTGGGGACATTCACTAGTTGGAACTGCAGTTCCCAGAGGTCCACTGATTGCTGCTGATGGGAAACTCTGCCTCACCCCCGCCCCTGACTCCACATCAGCACTGGATCTAACTCTAAAAAGCCCCCTGAGGCCCACAGTGTGGGCAGAGTGCTCAGCAGGCAGAGAGGTGGCACTGGTGACAACAGTACCATGCTGTCTTGCAGTCTGTCCCTTTGTTTGGGCCAGAGCTCCTTCCTAATGACCCCAAGACCATCCACCAGCATAGACATGGGCAGCCGCTGGCTTCTGCTGCTCCTGCTGCTCCTAAGTAGGGACAGAGTCTTCAACCTGCCCAGTAAGTACCCGATCCCCTCTGCATCCTCCACTTGTAGCTTCTGACTGGCAGGAGAGGGGAAGAAAGTGCTAAAATCCAGGTAATAACTCTTCGGTCGCCAAGGGAAGCTCAGCCATTCCCTAACTAACCTCTTTAACTGTCCAAAGAGTGTGAGGTGGAGGTGCCAGGGAGTTTTAAAGGCAGAGTGACCTCCATGCCTCTGGCCTCTCCCATGCATTTCTTCCAGAATGCTCTTTGTCTGCCTGCTCCGTCTCATCTGTCTTCTCATTTGTCTTTCTGCCTATCCTTCCCAACTGTGACAGGTGAATAGCTTGGGCTTTCAGCAGGCTGAGGGCTCAGGTGTTCTGACTTTGTTGCTTTGTGCTTCTTTATCAAGCGTTCTGATGCCTCATAGTTTGAGAAAGGAAGGCATTCTGGGTTCTGAGTTCCTAGATCAGTATGAGGGAAGATACAGGCAAGACACTGTGCGATAGTAGCTCCGGGTGCGGGGACAGTAGCTCCCCAGGTCCACGGCTTTGACCAGGGACAGGAGCCTCTTTGACAAAACACTGAAAGCACACAGAACAGTGAAAGCAGCAGCAGGCTGGGGAATCGATGACCCCACGAGTAGGTCCTGTGCCAAGCACTGTGTGAAACCTGCCTTCCCTTGCCTTATCTCAAGACTCTCAGGGTCACAGTGAAGTAGGTACTGTATCAGCGTCCCTGCTTCGTTGTGGTAGCAACTGGGACTCATGTGTTGACTTCCGTGTCCTCCGAAGCACACAGTAGGGATTGTCCCCAGGTCTGACTCCAGAGTCTAGGTCACACTGCATTGCTACAGGCGAATCTCAATTACCAGGAATATTTTTTACCAAATCTAAATTTCAACCTATTTCCAACTAAAATCCCCATTGGGCTTTGTAATCTAAAATGAGCTGACTCTCGTGTGTAAGAAAGAAAGAAGGAAGCTGACTGTGGCAGCACACACCTGTAACCCCAGCACTTGGGAAGTGGGGGCAGGAGGATCAGAAACTCAAGGTCAGCCTAGGCTATAGTCTCAAAGAACCTGAAAAGGAAAAAGTAATAAATGACATAAAAGAAAAAAGGCCAACAATATCCACATGAGTGTGTGTGTGTGTGTGTGTGTGTGTGTGTGTGTGTGTGTATGTAGGAGGCTGAAGAGCAACTGGTTGACCCCTTGGAAAAAGCAGAAAGTCAGATCAAGTGTGGTACATGCTTGTAATCACAGCCCTGGGGAGTGGGAGGGCCAGGCATCAGACCTTACAGGGAATAGAAAAGTGTGGAGGGAGGCAGCAGGGTCTAAAACCCTGGGCCCTCAGCCGGCTGAAAGCCTAAGCTATTACCAAGGTGTCAGAGCCCCTGAAGCCAGAGTTCTAGGCCATTGTCAGCCATGCAACATGGGCAGTGGGGACAGAACTTGGGTCCTGTGGAAGAGTAGCAAGTGCTTTTAACTGTGAGCTCTCTCTCCAGCCTTCCCACCACCCCTCCTGCAAAATTTTTTGAAGAACAAAATGGGAGACTAGGCGTAGAGGTGGGGGAAATGTAACCTACCAGAGACTGACACTTTTTAAAAGTTGACAGTCAGAGGATGTGTGGTGTTGCTGCGGGGTTACAGAATTAAAGCAGCTGACTGAAAGACAGCACGGAGCTCTGCTGGTTGCAGTGATAGCTCGGCATGAGAAACCAGGGGGGCAAGTTGACCACTTTATACTTTTGCTAAGTATAAAGTCAGATCAGGTGTGGTAGTACATGCTTATGATCCCAGGCCTGGGGAAGTGGAGGATCTGGATTTCAAGGATTTCAAGTCCAGCTGGACTACCCTGTCTCAAAAAATAAATAAATAAATATGCATGCAGTCCAAGCTGATGGACATTGACCTCCTTGCAAATAAAAAAGTAAGTCCCTCTAATAAGCCATTAGCCTGGGCTTTTGTGGCTTCTCCAATCCTGAGCCCAAGTATCTCACACTGCTGAGTGGGACATGGAGACCAGAGCAAGGGGTGGGCTTCCATAAGGTCACACAGAAATAGGTAATAGAACAGTTCCCATCCCAAGCCTCCCTGCTCTCTGCAAGCATTCCAGGAGGCTGTTACCCTATTACGACCCCTCAGCTCTGTACAGATATTAGAGATAGGTGATGCAGGTGCAAGCAGGAGACGGGTAAGGCCAAGGCCAGTGTCTCTTCAATGTATGGACGGGAAGGATTGCTTCGTCCATGCTAGGTCACCTTCTGTCCTCTGAATCAGCCCTCTGGTAATTGCAAGGAATCTAGAGCAGAGCATCAGGTGACGGCCTGTTTCTGCCCATTGCTCAGGGGAAAGAGCAAGGTTTCCTGGGGACCTAGTTCAGTGCATGTGTGAGGGCTTTCCTCTCAGGGGAGAGTGGCTAGCTCAGCCTTGGAAATTAAGTGATGTTTTTGTAAGGCTTCACGATGCAGCTGAGAAAACAGACTGAGGGTCTGGTTTCAAATGCAGCATCACCACTTCCTTGGGGTGTTGCCTCCGACAGGTGTCTTTACCTATTTCAGCCTTACTTTCCATGATCTGGTATGTAGAAATAATAGTCCTTGTGAGAAAACAGCGTACCCGTTCTGCTGTAGACAAACAAGAGGGAAAGATGTCAAGAGCATCCGCAACCACTAGTGCTTTAAAACAAGTTCGATTTTTATTGTGGGGGGCAGGGTTAGAGTGCGTCATGGCTCAGTTATGGAAGTCGGGTTATGCTTTAAAACAAAATTATTGTTATTCCTATC